AAACAAAGTTTGATAGAGCAAATTGAAATTAGACTAATTTACACAGGTCTCTATCTGCTTTTGGAAACTCTTCCATCTTTATTTTTAGCAGTGCAGTCAGTCATTATAGGCAGTTAAAGGCTGATTAGGTTTGCAGAGTAGTTAAAATGCTAACCATACAAAATGGGAGAGACTGTTTCTGCAGGGATGTGCATGAAGGAGCTTTTTAAATTAACATTTTTTTGAGGTTTTGTTAAAGGGCCACATTTTTGCTGTTCAAAGACTGTAAATAGCATGATAAATGCATGCCTTGAAGGGATGCTCATGGGGAAAATCCAGGACAAATCTCATGGAACTATATCCTCTTAAATCAGATTGGTATTTGAGGCTACAATTGTACACATTAAAACATGATACAATGAGCAATTTTACTTCATGTTAGATTTCTATCTGCTTATGCATGCAAACACAAATATGTGCATGTGTACGCACATTTATATGTAAAGAAAATTTCTTCAGAATTTTTTGTTAGAATTACTAAAATATTAACATTCTGGGAGGTTAATGGAAGCAAATATATGTCATTTAATTCTTACCCTTCTCCCTTAACTCTTCATCATTAATGCTGCTTTCTTTTTCTATCACTGTGTTTTTGGTCTTGTGAAAGAGTGATAGTGCATATTGTCAGCTCCATAATTCAATGCAATTTTTAAAAGAGTACTCTGGGATATCTTTGTTTTATTTTCAACTCTTTGTATTCATACTTTTGTACATTTCTTAAGGAACACAAGGTCTAGAAACCTACCTTAAGGTGAGAATGTCAATTAATAACCCAACAGCCAAGAGCTGGAGTTAACACAACACCAGAAATAAATGTGGTCAGTCCACAAGTTTCTAAGTAATACTAAATCTCCAACTACCAAAAACTTGGCCCACCAGTTGAGACAAGTGAGAAGCTGGGGGATGTTAAATTTAAAGTAGAGCAAGAGGCATACCATTGCTGCCATCTCCCACAACTGTGGTGCGAGCCCTTCCTCTTGAAGGATGTAGATAATCGAAGGATGAATGCTGTCTCTGTCTTTACAGTTTTCTGCTGGAGCACAAGGATAAGTGAAAAGCTTCTCATTTCCACAAAGAGATTCCAGTGCTAAAGAAAGGCTGCTGAAGATTCATCTCACTAAAGATCTTTTTATTGAATATAGAAAACCTCCACTTTGAATAAATATGTAAAGTGAGACTTCTTGTAACCTCTACAAACAATTCAGTCCTTGTAGTGCTCCACTCTTTTCTATTTTCTTGTAGTAAGACAAATGAGTTGTCTCTGTAAATGCCTTTCCTCTTCCCCAGTTAAAAAAAAAAAAAAAAAAAAAAAAGGGGGGAATTCACTGAACTATTGTTTCATGTTTAATAAGTTAATGGTCCAATTTGATTTTTTAAATTCCAGAAATGTTGGAACAAAAAATCTCTAATATTTTCCAACGAACTATTCTAATCTGGATGATTTGATCAATGTATACTCATATTCAGAAATATATATTGCTACTTGCAAATTAATAATGGCAAAGCAGTTGCTTTCTGTAGACTGTGAAAAATCAGAAAGCAAATGATCAAGCAAACTCAAAAGAAACTTATTATTTTGTGTATCACCAAAGCACAAATTCTTTTAGGAATAAGAAGCAACAGCAACCACAAATAAACTGTATTTTTAAACAGTTTTAAAGGAGCAGATTTCTTTAAATAAACTGTTTAAGCCTTTACAACACTAGACTATAATGATCAGTAATGCATAAGAACAGAATGAGGTAAGAAGGCTTATGCACTTCTGTAATTCTTAACCTTGAAGAAGAAGAGGAAATCCCTTTCAGGACTTTCAGTGCTAAAAAGACTGTTGATTTTAAATGGAAAATAAAAGGGAGAAATATTTTTTTGCTATGAAGAATTTTCTAGTATCTTCAAAGGAAAAAAAATGCTTGAAATTGGATTAGATTTGTAGCATCCTGACTGCAGGTAGTAAAAATTTAAAGCTATGAACAGATAACTCAACTAAATAGAGAACAGGGATATCAGTTTTGCTGTTGCTGTGAATTACAAATATACAAGAAAAAGATTCAAGTACCTCCTAGCTAAGATAAACAGGAAAAACACATCTCAGGCCTGAGGAAACTTTATCCCTATCAATTTGCCTTTTAATAACTTTGGAGAGGGAGATTTTCAGATTATAGCTGTATCTCGAGCTTTTAGATTTCTGTCAGGGTATCACTGGCTATTGACATGATATATAACGGGGCTGGTGGGCAAAAGATAAATTGGATCTTATTATCTGCAATGCCCAGATTAAATGTGGGAAAATTAGACTAAATGGTGTTTTCAAGTTCAGTCTTCAAGTCCTAAAGGAATACACCCCTTTTAAGAATTGAACTGAAATTAAGGACTGAGAAAGTACATGTAAAATTTCAGAGAAAGTTTACTGGAAGGACAACTGACAACTGCAATAGGCTAAAGAGCAAAGTCTTCAATATTAAGTTATAAAGAGTTAAATGTAACAGCTCTTATATCCTTATTGAAATTTGGGGGTTCATTAATTTCTTTCATTTACCACCATTATTTCAGAGCAGACTTGGCCATGAAGTAAAATCTTTGCCCTTTCAAGGGAAAGATAAATTCACAGGTGGGATATTCTTTTCAGTCTTTAGCAGATGTAGAAGATCATAGTGGACTGACTCATCTGCTTTGAGGCCTGTGGTAAGACAAAGCAGGCAGGATTTAATTTCTGCCTCTCTTTTGTGCATGGGAGGCCATGACAAATGAACTGGCATGTGTCAAGATGCCAGTCTATGTCTAGACTGGAGGGGTCACTCCACCATTTTCCACCTAGCCTTTTTCCTGAAAGCACAGGAGGTTTATTTTGAACTTCCACACTCATCTCTTGATTCAGTTTACTCAAAAGGAACACATTTTAGTTATTTTTGTCATTCAACCCTTTAAATTTGAGTTAGATAAGCATATGGATCATGATGAATCATCAGATTGTTTCAGGTCTGCTGGTGTCCAAGTGTCTTTCCCACTTGAGTAAGCCACCTTTAAGTGGTTTTAGACAAGGGTCCTATCACTCCTAGGTACTCTTGCTTGCAGAAAAGTTCATACCTTTTCCCCCTGCAGGTGAAAATGCATGTGCAATCTTTGTATGAAACTGCCCACGTTGTAATCCTTTGATACTATGTGAACTTTCCAGGTGCAGAAAATATGTTTTCTTTCTGTTTTCAGGTGCAGAGAGCATACCATAATTTTGTTTCATAAAACATAAGGATATCCGTTTCAAATAGCAAATCTGTATCTATCAAGATACGGCTTATGCATTTTATACACTACTTTTCACTTGGTAATTCAATTTGACAGCTGTGATGAGCTGAGACAAGTCATACAACCATCTGGGGTAACATTTAGAGCTTCCAAATTACAGCATATACACCACTTGTTCCACCTGAAGAATGTCAAAAAAGCGTCTATTTTTGACTTAAAATAGTAAAAACAAAATAAACCTTTCCCAGACATGGGTAACTACCCAGCCATGACTTACTGTTATATGAATCAAGACCAAGGAGTACAGGATTAGAGTAATGAGCTATCATTTATCTCAGTGAGAAGCTGAATATCATCCTCTTTTTTGTGGGGTATGTGGTAAAACGTACAAGACTAGGCATTATTGTTGAAATGAGAGAGTGCATGCATGGCTCTTGTATTTCTGTGTGAGATATATCTGTGCATTGTGAAGCCTGCTGTGGTAAGTCTTTGAATCGATGGCACAGTATACACACAATAAATCTGGTGGTTCAGGAAGTGTAGGAATGATGGTGCATGTGCTTGGAGACTGCACAGTATGTCTGCCTGACAAACGCAGAGAAATGGGGTGCTGGTCTGCAGCTTTTGTTAGCGGAAAGTTTGGAAGGGCACCCCCATAGCAAAGGCTGCATGACAGCATCACCAGGCAGCCAGAAATCCTGGAACAGCAAGTGAACAAAAGTGTTCACCGTCCGTGTGAAAAATATTATTTGGTGAAAGAAAACATTGCCAGGGAAATCAAGGCACATGGATGACTTATGGATGCAGTGCAGAAAATTGGGTATTACTGCTGCCACTGGTCACAGAGCTGGCAGTACCTACTGGTGGTGGTACTAATTAAGCAAGTGACACTGGGAACCCTGACATTAGGCAAAAATTATCTATACAAAAAGTAACAGAAACTGGAGTTACAGAAAACTAAAGGTAACAACCTTGTAGGAAACCCTGCAAGGAACAGCAAAAAGCCAACATCTCATAGGTGACATGAAACACAGAGCTACTGTTGTGAATGCTGTTCACAACATGTACTGTTGTTGTCATGTTAGCTGTCATGACAATTTGTGTCTGGGTATGATGTCTGAGCAAGCATGTTTGAGAACACCAAGTGCCACTTACATGAAGTTTTTGCTCAAACTTCATAGAGACTTTCAGCCCTATAATGTGATACAGAATCCTGTTCTTTTCATGTGAGGACAAGTAATAAGGACATACTGATTTGATTTTTACCCCGTCCTCAAACACAGTTCGTAAACTAGATAAGGAGTTCATGACTTGACCTATCATCAAGACCTCAATAGTTTAAACAGAAATTTAATTTTCTCTGCATATACTTCAGGGATAAAAATATGACAACCTCTGTGATGTGCCCATTCAGTTAAAAAAAAAAATCATGTTGACAACTATAGATGGGGTGAGAGAAAAGGTCATTGAAAACATGAAAGGAATTGAACTACAGCCATAGGTCTTTAATAAAATCTGTATCATCACTGGATTTGTGCAAATTAACTACTAACTTTCTCAAACATTGCCTATGAATTTTTTCTTCAGGTTTGAGAAAAATACCATACTTTTCTTACAACACAATAATTTGTATTGGAGAACTGAAGGGAGCCAGAAGAGTGATGGAAAGAAAGCAGTTCCTTTCCTGCATTCCAATAAACAAGTTACAGATAATGTTTTACTTTCACAGTTACCTGTGCATTTCTTGATATTGCTGTTTCTTTTTCCATGTGATCCTAATTTGCATCCAAAGTTCTCCTCCCAAAATTCTGCAAACCATACATTTCTTCTATTGTTAGCAAGTGTTCGGCTCCGAAAATATCTATCAAATCCTAAATTTAAAAGAAGTGAAAGAAGCATTAAAATGTGATACAGCATAAAAATAATTATTTAAAGACAATAACAGATTTTGTATAAATATCAGAACAAGAAAAAGCTTCAGATACAAACAAGAAAAAGCATTAGATACAAACTAATAAGATATTTTATGAGCATAGTACTATCTAAGGATTTAAAAAAAAAGTATATTTGTTATTATCTCATTTTTGCGGCAGAACAAGATGTTTTAAAAATACCTAAAGCAGTCAAGGAGTCTCTAAAGCTCCAGCAGAATTCTATAATTAAAGAAAATGCATTGTAGGTAGTTAGGGAAATTGCTTAATTTTTAATACACAGATGACCCAAATAAAGAATTGGATACCTACAAGAAATTAGACAAACTATAATCACTAATTAGTCAAAGACTTTGATTCAAATAAATGTTATGTCAAGGCCACCTAAAATCACTGGGTACCTCTCTGTTGAATCAGAGACACCTAAAATTCTGCTTCTATTTGTTATGTTTAGTGATCTTAGTCAAGAAATTAAAGTTTCCTTCTTAAACCTGATCAGATTCTGCATCAGCCTTACCCCTACAACCTAGCAGCCATAATGAAATCATGACTAACATATACCATCTAGATTAAGCTTTTCACAAATGTTTCTGTGTGGTTAATTCTCCAAGTACCATCAATACTACTCAGTTTTTCTAATTGCTTACCAGTTTAGAGCACTTATGCAGACAGTAAGAGATGTTTCTATGTCCAGTACCCTCTTGGGAATAAGGTGATGCAAACCAACAACTTCCATATCATTCACCAAATCAGAAACTTTGATAATATAGTGGCTTCTTAAAGTAAGTTTAGGAGAGGAAAGCAGAACCTAGATTGATCTCCCCCTAGAAGGACCTGACTCGTTATCATCCATCCAATACTCTCCTTTTTTGTCCTATAGAACCACCAGGCTAAAGGTAAGAAGCTCTCCACCACACATGCTCTAGTTATTAGACCATTATAAGATAGCCTAATTGCAGATTCAGCATCTCTTTGTCTCAACAGAGATATTAAATGAATATTGGATCATGCAAACTCAAGTTACTTATTTGGAAAGTTTTCTCTGATTTCCTTGTAATCAAGGACTACATGATTTTTTAACTTTTTTAATTTTATTTTTAAGAAAGTTAGGGTTCTTGAAAATTGTCAGAAAATTAGGGTTTTGTGCCATGTCCATTCCTACCATCTATTGATGTTCTTTTGGGCAGAATGGTTACTGCTCCTTCTGCAATCTCCTCCTGCTGCTGAACTGGTGAAATTTTTGACCCCCAACTATCTGAGCCAATCCAGAGGAAATGTCCAGATTGATTAGCTTTTTTGGCTGCTTCCAGTATTCGCCTGCAAATAAACAAAAAATGAGTAATTAACCAAACTACATTTACAAAGAACTTGAGAATCCCCAGTATTAATTCTGGCTATGCATAAGTAAGCTCACACTAACCTATTGGTCAACAGTTTTCACAGTCTAAAGCATATTCAACAACAGCTGTAGTGAGCTCAAGGTACAGTTCTGTACAAGTTAATTTATTTCATCTTTGGACATATTTTTCTAACATTCTTATTTGTTTCGTCCTTTTTGTCCACCAAATAACAATGTATTGGAGCTGCACTCTTAGGAACTAGGAACAGCTTAAATTTCCGCAGAATAAAGGACCAGCACGCTGTACAATCACAACCCAATTTCTTATCACCAGATTTCCAATAATTTTTACATGGGATTAAATCTGAAACCTCCTCTGTTACTCTATGCTGCACCAGCCATTGAGCACCTCTGTGAACAGAGAATGTCTTTAACACACAAAATTAGGAAACAGGCACCTAATGTCATCTTCATTCGCAAACATGATCACTGCTCGAGCATTTGGAGTTTCCAACAAACGCTTGATGATCTTTTCAAATTCTCCTGGTCTTGGTTCTCGGGGGATTTTGAGTGACTGAGCAATGCAAACACCTCCTGAGAAAAATTAAAAGGAGAACAAAAATTATTTTAACACATTAATTATCCACATTTCAGATAATCCATAGTTAATGAGGCAAGCAAAGAAAACACAGTGCTAATCTGAGATAAGGCAGCGCAGCCAAAAGTTACCTTATCTATGCATTTTGAAATATACACTGTACAAACTTACACACTCAATACTGCATTAAAGAGCTCAATTCAGGTACCTGTTACTTTACTTTTTATATACAGTTAAAACAACATCCTGAGACAGATCCTCCAGCACCGCTCTCTGGCTCAGCTGGACTGAGTTCCGTGGACCTACCCCAGCTTCTGGCAGCTGAGAATCCAGCCTTGCCACAGGATTGCATTTAACTGTGGAAATGCAATTCGACACTTATATTCATAATATGGGTACTATTGATATGAGGTAGTATCACACATCTCTGCTTTTTCAGCAGAATGTATAAGGTTAAGAATTAATGCTTGAAGTGTTCTCGTATGAACAAATATATACAGATCACTTCTAATTGTTATTATGACATTCTTAATTAAGTTGTCTTAATTATTTGAAAGGTTTTGGGTTGTCATTGAATATTCTAAATTACTAATCAACAAATGAACACAAACTCAGAGATGATATTTATATCTCTTCCTGACAGATAGAGGAAGGTTCTAATTGAAATCTTTACATTTTACCTGTCCTGAATTCTTCTCTGCTTCACATGAAAGAAATAATATTTACAAATCAGAATATCTGTCATTTCTACCAAAAATTATTTGTACATATTTCTTTACCATCTATAGATAGTATAGAGATACAACATAAATAATTTACTCAAATGGAATATAGTGCCTTTTTCTCGCAACACATTACTTCATATTTTTATGAGCAGCCTGGCTCCCCATGACGGACAGCTAATTTGCCAATAACAACAGATGAGACCATATAGCAGGTGACCCTCATACTCGCCAGGTATCTTTGACAATCCAGTAATGAAAAGATGGACACTGTGCTATGAAAAGCTCTAGCCAATTTTCTAAACTGATATTGAGGTATTGTGAGAGACATTCAAAAAGTCCTTTACTGCAACCTCTTTCTCAAGTAACAGGGCTGAAATGTAAGAGAAATATTTAGCAGACACCCTGTAAATTTAGCAATCAGCAATTCACTGTTAAAAAAGAAAAACTGAAAAGCCATGCCAAGCTCACAACTGCCCTCAAAGCCATTCAGGCACAAAAAGTAAAACAGATCCTAAAAACATTACATAAAGGAATAATTTGTTACCTCATAAATTTTGAGAGTGGGTTTTTCAACCATTTCTATTCATGCAATGGCCCTTAAGAAAAAACATTCTTTCCACATAAAACTCAAATTCAAATATTACAAAATGCATATACAGCCATCTACAATCTGTGTGGAATGGATATCAAGCAATGAAAAACTGCAGTATCTAAAAAAGCTATTTTCAGTCAAAATGGTGTAGAAGAAACACCATTCCATCATTGCAGCAGCAAGTTCAATCATGACTGTGCTGTGCATCTTAGCATCTCTACATTGAAAAATGTGTTAAGTGTTAATACTGATGCAATAAAATGCACTTCAGCCTATAAAGAATGGTGTAAGCTATCTCCAACACACAAAACTCTTTGTGTACACCCTTATCTATATATTGCATATACAGCTGTTGCTCAAACAAATAACAGAGTATCAATTTTCAGCTAATGATGAAACGTTAGATCCACAAAGGTACTTACATCATTACAGTGTCTAACCTCTCAGTACCCTGCAGCGTTTGAAATCTACAGCCTGGGCTAAGTGCCCAGACACAGAGAGAGATGTGTGTCTAGGAAAAGGATCTATAGGAGTCAGTACACTGAATAAGGAATAATTATTCCTCCAAAATTGTTAACAGAGGCACTAAAAGGACAGGTTTTAAGGCCAGTAGTTAGGATAATATTATGCAGTGTGAACAAAAGAGATATTTCCCCAAGTCAAGAAGAAATAGGGTTTGAGAACAGATGTCGCAAACGTGGTACCAATGGATTTACCATTTTCTGCAGACGTGACGAAGGGCAGATGGTTCAGATGTCTAATGCCCCTGGAGAATTTATGACTGTGAATCATAAGAACAAACAGTATCTACGTGTTTCACGCTGTCAGCATTTCTGACTGTTTTGACATGATGACTGCTTGCCCCTGTTGATGATTTCTAAAATATTTGTTATCATTTGTTTTCTGGGGGTGTACCAAAAAAATACATTGGCCTAAATTTCCCTTGGCTGAAATTATGATCAACCTAACATTTGTACGAGGAAATGAGAGCTAACTGTCTTCTTACTGAAAAGGAACTGTTGTGTTCAAATATGGCCAGTTAAAAGGACTTATGAACGGGCTTCGGAGAAGGCTGCACTAAAAGCTGCTATTGAGACCAAGAAAGGAGTCAGACAGATGGACTCATTTCAGGTAGCACAACTAGTAACAGATACCAGCAACTGTACCCAGTCTTACTCTATACATTCCCTAATCCATATATGACATAGGAGATGAAATTAAGGGTTTGCATCTGTCACATATAGTAACGATATCAAGATGGCACTGATGGAAAGTAGCTCTTCAACTACTCTAGGGAGAAAAAACAAACAAACAAAAAAAAGTCTTAGCACCAAACCATGCCAAGCCTCTTTTGTCTGTTCTCAGATCCATAAAACTAAGGTTGTACTCAGTCATCCCAGAGCTTGATTTGAGGAATAAAACAGTTAATATGAACTGCATTGTGTCACTGATGATAAGTATCCATTTGTCTTCTAACAGCTATGAAGTGTGATATCCAGCACCTGAGGCGAGGGGACGATGGAGAAGGAGAGCAGAGGTGGGAGGTGGAAATCAGGCTCATGGCAGGAGCTGCCCCGCTCATGATAAGGGGCTCAGTACAGCCATTCTGCACCATGGTTAGCAACTGGTAACTCAAGTGCTTTTAAAACAGGGACATAACCAGACCTGATCTACAATAATATGGTTTTGAGTTGTTTTCTCCATTGTGATAAAAATCACATCTTAACTGAATTGTTCCACATTAGGCTTGGCTTGCTTGCAGGTGCTCTGTATAACACAGCTTGTGGGAAACAGGCTATCACCAAACAAAAAAATGGCAAATTTTTAAAATATTGTCAGCACACTGGATCAATAAGCCTTGTCCTTTCTTTTTTGTGCTCTTACAACAGCAATTCTATCAATGAAAAAACCATAAGAAAACTGTAGTAAGTGTATAATTTTAGTGGTTAAACTTATGGTGATTTTATAATGGTAAATATTCATTTTAGCTGTCATGGGTTCCAAAGTCACAAGATGGCATGTTAATTGTAAATTATTAAATACTCAAGTATGCGGAGGTGAGTGGCAGAAGTGATGCTGAATGTGTATTTGGAAAATAGCAGGGAGACTTGGTAAAAAACTAGCACTAACAAGTGAATTACCTAAAGCAAAGACTGAAAGATCAAGCTAAATGTACGTACAAGGGCCACATTCTCTCATACCCCAGCTAGGGTCCAGCACTACATTATGGACCAACTGAGATACACCGGAAAGGGCACTGTCTTTGTATCAAAAAAGCTGAAAACAGAGTTTTTAGTTCAAGCTTGTTCAGTGTTGGGGCCACAACCATACTATCCAGAACCAGTTTATCCTCTAAACTATTTTATCTCCCCATGTATATACCTGGCCCTGCCATTGTAAAAGGGGAAGGGATGAAGCTATGTGCTTGCTTTGACAAGCTATTTCCTACCATAAGGAGGTGTACCTCTCCTGACTCAGCATACATGACTGCAAGTCAATTAAGGAATGGCAGCTTTAATTCACAAATCACATTTTTCCTGAAAAAGCTTAAGACAAATAGCAAGAGCACATCTGGGACCCAGTCCTGCCTGGCAGGACTTTCTCAGCTGCCTTCAAGTGTATGTTTTCTTTTTTTTAAGGTGAGATATATGTGACTGGTCACCAGGCCAAGAAAATTTTAATATAAGTCTGTGGAAAGTTTCCAAAAGACATTACAGAAATATGTGAAGGCAGAGGAGTTCCTCTTCCAAGCAGGAGAACAGATGTCAGAGACTCAGAGGAAGCCTCAGTAAGAAACTCTCCTTCAAGGCACACAGGGAGCTGTCACAGGCAGACACAGCCTCCGCCTGACAGGAGATTGCACACTTCTGACAGCATCATATGATGCAAGAGAACATGAGGAAAACCAGACAACTACATCTCTCCTCTTCTTTCAGTCCTTCCCCTGGTTATATTGAAAGTCTATAAAATCTAGACCTGGTTGTACTGAAAGTCTGTTCCAACTGCCAGGAACCCCTCGTTCAGCATGAAAATTGTTGGAGATATTAAAAACAAAATGCCCCACACAACTTCTGTTGACACAAATCAGACTATCTTTGTGACTTAGTGAATCCATCAAGACTTTCTTTTTAAGCAGACAGTTCACTATTTGATAAATTTGGATACTAAGAAATCGGAATATTAAAGAAGAATAAGGTTGGTGACTGTTCTGCATGGGACTTTCACAGATGCTTATAATCAGGAATTTTTACGAATTATTATTTAAACCACAATCAGCTTGCTGCCATCCTCTATCCCTAGATGCTCTCAAAAATAACTTTCTAGACTATGAGTCAACAGGGAGTGATGCTTAGGAAGATACAATTACAAGTCTAAGATCAAATTTCACAAGCAATAATTCTTCAAAATGCAAATGTCTCCTTAATGCCAAATTGCTATAGCTGGGAGATCTGAATTCAGCCGTGCATTCTTTCCAGAGCTACCTTCACTTAACTATCCCAAGAAACCATATGAAGCTCTGCAGACTTCAGGGTATCTGCTGCTCCCACTGAAAACCATGTCATCTTCACTGCTCTGCACGTTCAAATCTAGTTAAATAAAATCTCATTCCAGTACACCTCCTCTGTGGCAGTCACCAACTACCTGCAGTATCAAAATATCCTAAACCTGGCTTTTTATT